TGGAGTGCTGAAACTTTTTGAGCGCTACCCAGGGCCGTGTTTGAGCAATCCGTGAAGAAAGCATTCACATTGCCATTCACGTACGAATACGTTAAATATGACGTAACTCCACAACTAAAGCATCTAGAATGCTGAATTTTCTGGGCACGGACTGGGAGTCATTGAAATAATTTCTAACAGTCGTGGTGGCTACTCTCAATTCTCTTAGGTAGAAGCATCTGCTGAAAAAAAGTAGTGCCATCAGCAACAAAAACCTGCGGGGGAACTGTGCAGAAAACGCATCTTCGTACCGGCAGCCGGTGAGCTTTCAACTATGTTCATTTTCTTTACAAAACATGCCTGCGCAGTTCGTTTCTTACATTTTTAGATATCCTTACACCACTCCCTTGGTGCCACACTTTTATCCTACACTCTGTCTTTGCATGCTCAAGAAGGAATACATTAAGCATCATTCCTTCGTTGCTCCTCCGTTACCGAAAATGTCCTTTTGTTATCCGGCAGTTGGCAGTGTTGCGCACTGTAGTTTTCCATTGCTTTCAAGTTCGTAACCACAACAAGAAGTACAACATTCTTCCCTTTCACCGACAAATAATTCGACGCTGCTGTGTAGCATACACTAACCAGCCGCTTCTAAAAGGAGTATGTGGCTGCCCGTCAGTGTAAGCCGAGAGCTCAGATAAGTGCTATTAACTGACTTCAAGGATTAATAACTCAAAAGTGAGGCGATAAAAGGAACGTCAGGTTACCTGCTGCGTAACTGGCCGTTCCAGGAATTTCAGAAGTACAAATTTAAATAAAAACAACTACTGCGCAACCTGGATGACATGTTTTGGTGAGGTGCAGTACTCGCGTATTCCATGACTGTAAAGCTTAGCTGCTTCCTGTAACTGTCCCATTGCGATGTGTTGCTCAAAAACGTCGTTGAATGCGCGACGCGTAGACTCCTGCAATGTGCCACTAACTTATACTTGTTAAATGATATGAAGGCTGATATCAACCACGCGGAAAATTGTTTTTAGGTACCAACAATTTACCACACTCCCTTCTAAATCACTGAGAATATTGCTGCGGCGTAAATTCCTAGGCTTTCACATAACACACGAAAAAAGAGCATCGAAAAAAAGCCAATTTCCTTAATCCCTAGGCTTACTCGGTGGCAGTTTTTCACCGGCAGCTGCACTGCGCCAACAGATAGGTCATTCTAAACTTGTAAACAAAAGCGTGTAATAACTCACAGACCAATTCTGATGATTTTGTCAAAACTTCTCTAATCACAAGGGAAGATTGACAGCCCCAAGATATTTATGAACTGATGAATGCGCCGAACATCAGCCTCATCCTATTCTTTTCATGGACCATACAGGCACTGGACAATTCTTGAGTATTACGATGGACTCCTACCAGTTACAGGCGCAAAGGAAAATTCGTTAGTCAAATTTCAGGTTGTATTTGTGATAGAAAGGAAGGAAGAGGAAGCGAAAACATTTAAATTCCACACACCCTTGCTCATGCAAAGACGAAGGAAATGCACCCAAGATTTCAGCTCTCTGGCTCTGCAATTAAGGAGATCAATCTGCATGAAACAACAAATGCACATGCAGCACTAGAACAATGGAATAATACTTTGTTATATGCCAATACTAGACAGCAACGTGCGCTAGAGTTTCTGGTGCGATGGTGCGTTTTTGCGTTAAACTTGGAGCAATCAAACCGTTAACAGTATGGTCTTGCAAACACAAAAGCCACTACTTCATGTGACTATTGTTACTGGCCAGAAAAAAAAAAGAAAATATGAACAAAGAAAATAAGAGTGCATCATTACTTCAGTACTTCCAAGTTTCAAAATTAGCCTTTTATTTTAGAAAGCAAACTTTGTGATTCTTGGAATTACCTTGACGCCCTCTTCTTTTTGCCTGTTAAATTCTGCGATAAGTACATCCAATTGTGTTTGTGCCTTCATTGAAGTCTTGTCCATCCACTGGGAGTCCAGGTGTGCCCAGCCATCCACTGCGTTCTCACAGAACGTGGCACCGGGGCTTTCTGTAACCGGCGCAGCACCACGCAACAATTCCAAGCGATGATGCGCTAACGCATATGTCTGCACGTTTACAGTGTTCTGTAACAAAGCCCAGTTGTTCAACACTCATTTCCCACTGAAATTTCTATCCCCTTCAGTGTAAGCAGTGGAGGTAACCTATCTTCTACTTCTCGGAAGCACCGGATACCAATACGTATGGGCAGAAATCATGCAGAATTAAACTCTGCAGCATGAGGTACCACTTTCCTAATACAACGTGCAAAAGTGAAGCTAACCCGTTACATTATTATGCCAAAACGATCAAGAAATTCGACCAACAAAAGTCAAAAAGTGTGCTTAATCTCGACAAATTTTTACGCTGCATTTATTGCAGTAAATATAAACTTATAGAGAATAAGCACACTTGCCGGCTCTTGCGGTCGGATTTCTGAAAAGATTCGTTAGAAATCTGCAGAATGTAACAGACGTGTGGGCAATTAAGAATCTCTCCCAAATCCTTCGTGGTTTAGAAATGTGCACATCAAATGAATGAAATTTCTAGCACCAACGTCCAATGGCACCCGGCTGCAGTGATCTCCTAAAGGCTGTGTTACGGATTTTGCATAAGGAAGTGGTATTGAATTAGTAATTTTTTAGAAACTAACGCCACAATTTAGCTCATTAGTCCTGCTTGTCCTCAAAACCAAAAAACACAGCTTCAAAAGGCTGATTTTTTGCACTCTGTTTATCGCTTTCTTGTTTTATCTCGTCGCTGGAGCAAAAAAAAACCTATCCCAGTGTTAAGCTGCTTCTACGAGAATAACATTCCACGTTTCGTATATATATTAAAGTCGCGAATACAAACAAAAAAAAAAGTTAAAAGGCAGGTAAAAGCCTACCTCAACAAGATAGCGAATGAGCATAATGAGCGCATCTTTTTGTAACGGCAGACATACTTCTGACACAAACAATAATCGATTGATCAACCCATGGCCTATAACACCCAGCAGTAAACAGGATACATTGGTGCTTTTTAATACAGCGCACAGTCATCAAATTTTTCTGGGCAAAATGAAACTTATCTTTTGGTATTTTGAAAGAACCAACAAACTCACTAGACGTTGCACTATCCGATCAAACCTAATCTCAAAAAATGCTTTTCACTGGATCTAACATCTAAGCAGCTTCGCTGAGCAAAGAAAAAATGACTACAACTTCTTTCATTCTGACGGAGTCCTCCAACCTTCGTAGATATTTCCTGAGAATTCCCGCCTTTTACGTCAAAACACAGCAGCTTTAAGGGGTTCAAAGTCTGGACGCAAAAGGCTTGATGCCAATTAAAATTCACGAAAATTGAAGGTATTTTACGGGAACATAACGAAAGAAGTACGAATGCTGTCGGCGCAAATAGGGAGGGAAGTTGGAAAACTTCATTGCTGGCGGAAAATCAATGACCCGCACACTAATGACAACAAAAGCGACCACTAGATAAATTACTATTTATGAACAGAACTATTTGGGACTGCACTGCTCTCCAACCCATTGCTGAACAGAGCTCTGACAATCAGCAGTGTAAACTGAATTAGTTTTCTTCATCAAAAAAAACAGCAGCTCCTCACGTACCATGAGGAGAAGGTATTTTTGCCTGGCAGCACGTGCCAACAGCAATTGCAAGCCAAAAAGGCTATTGATGCCTTCCTCAGACCTCTCCAACGATATCTTACCAATAGCATATATATTTAACTCAGGCCAAATTCCACGCCGTCTCCAAAACCCAGCAGCGGTTATCAACAACAAAGCTCCATTAAAGAAAAATCGGCCTTGCTTTTACAGAGTATCCACAGAGCTACTTTAGATGTGACTGTTGATGGCACCACTGGTAGGTTAACCAAAATTTCTTACAAATCAGAACTTATTTCCATCCACATGCCCTTCTCGTAATGCAGCAAGAAACTATAAATTATCAGCGAATTTAGGATGCACGATTTAATGGTAAACTGACACAACAAATTCGGAAAAATCGCCCACTGCTCGCCCCCCTCCAAAACTCTTCTCCTGCTCCACCAGGCGGTGTAAGTCTGATACAAATCCGTGTAGAAGGCTAGCATAATACATGTGAAAATGCCAATTTCGCACCAAATCTTTTAGCAGCAGAAAAGAGTTTTGTACATTTTTTTCGCATACAATACAGTGGCATACAAAAGAAACACCTTCCGCTATGGACTGCTCTGCACACAAACAAAAAGGGCGCCATTTCCCCCCAAGGTGCGGTACAGGAAATGGGCAACTTCACCAGACGACCAGCCAAACAACAACCGGCCTGTGAGTGATAAATCCTAATCGGCAACCATTCTAATCAACAAGGAATATTTATGATATCAGAAATACAGTTTTTGCAAATTTCAATTACATAGTTCTGAAAATTCTGCCTCAAATGTGCAAACCTTTGTAGCTTGACTGAACTTCATCGAGGCTGACTGATGCCGTATTAACAGTGATCATCGGCATGCTGGGCTCCCCATTCCGCTCTGAAACAACAAAGATACACAAAGTGAGTCATTTCACTGCACCCTTCCAATTCAGATTTTGTCGCAGTGCCCTTGTGCATTGTGGTAAAATCAAAATGTGTCTCAATCGTTTCAAGTGTGTGCCAAATCGAGTATGCGTGGGTAACAGCCACAATGGTATTGCCCATTGATAAAGGAATTTCTCCCATCAGAAAAAAAAGCACCAAATGAAATCAGTGCAAAGCAGCAGACGAATAATGAAGCCTTAAATGCATCCAGGCCACTTCCAACGCAGCTACTGAATGCTTAGGTTCAGCACAAGAGATTCAACAATAACAAAGTAAAAAAAAAGCAGCTTTCTCTAGGAACTAGCTCAACAAGGTAAATGCAAAATGTACGTGCATAAAAACATGTAAACGCACATACATACACACGCATACACATACACCCATACACACACATACACGGACACGCATATAGAAGTACGCCTACACATTCACATACAGACACACGCATACAGAAACATAGAGGGACACAGATACACACGCACATACACACATATATGTGTGTACACAGTTATACGCAGCGACAAAACATTTTCAGTATGAGCTCAGGGTGAGTAAGCAAAAAAATTAATAAATAGCGACGCGCACCAGGGCAGCCGGTGAGGCTATGCGTTTTGTGCAGTCCCGTCCAGCGAACGTTTGCCTACTGAGAATTTTCACTTCTTTGCACTTTGGCTCATGCAAAAATAGTTGAAATATTGTCTGGTTCCTAAGTTGCGGAATTTCTCAGTAAAAATTTTACGTAACGGTACGTCAAAGCTGAATATAAAACCTCGAAGGATGGGCATTCTTCCAAAATTTCAACCTCCTAATTTCCTGGCATTCGAGTGATTTTTGCAATAAAACTTTCACGTGAGACCTCAGCGTACTTAGGAATTGAACTCGTGTTTGTGAAGCCCCTGCTTAGGCAGAAAACATCCTCCTGAAATTTTTTGCCTCCGAGCTCTTCTGGCAATCGAGATAATGATTTTTCCCACCGGAACTTTAACGGGGACATTGCGGACTTGCAAATTTGTACGAGCAAAGGCGGAACTAAACTGGAATTTCAGCTTCTAAGCCTTCGTGACTTTAGAGACAATAATTTTCCTCGTTAAAACTTCCTTTGACTCGCACTTGACACCCTGATGTAGAGAAAGGTTGAATTCAAGCTTCTGGGGTTGTAACTGGGCAGGAGGCATTGCTGTTAAATTTCAGCTTTCTAACTTTTGCAGTTCACGAGATAATTTCCCTCCCAAAACTTTCACGAGGTGGTACATGGTGCCCAGGAGTGCGTGGTGGCTGAGTCCAAATTGCCGAATCGTACGTCATCCTGAAATTGCAGTCTCCAACTTCCGTGGTTCCCGAGATAGTAATTTTCTCCATCAAAACTTTCACGGGGACATAAGTGATATCCAGGGGCGTGGGAAGACCGAATTTAAACTTGCAGAATTGTATGTGGGCAGGGTATTAAGGTAAAAATTTCAGCTTCCTAGCTTTTATGGTTCCCGACATAATAAATTCCCTGCCGAAATCTTCATGGAGCCGTAGATGATGGCCGAAGACGCGGGAATGATGAATTTGAATTTGCGAGGTCGTATGTAGGCAAGGGGCAATGCTATATAATTTCAGTTTCCTGGATTCCGTGGTTATCGAGATAAAAGTTTCCCTCGCCAGAACTTTCAGAAGCCATACATGTTATCGACGGGTACGGGAACCATGAATTTGAATTTTTTGGCTCCCTTTTGGGTAGGAGGAACATCCATAAAATTTCAGCCTCTCAGCTTCCGTGGTTCCCGAGATAATAATTTTCCCCGTCTTTTACGGAGCCATACGTGTTACTTGCGGGTATGGGAAGGCTGAATTTAAAACGGGGTCACATGTGGGGAGGAGAGCATTCCCCTAAATTTTCAGCTCACTATCTTCCGTGATTCCTAAGTTGAAAGATGCAGACAAGATGCGTCGGGTACAAACACACACACACACAGACAATCTGGTGACAATATGCGTTTTATGCAGCTATTGCACAACATAAATTGCGTAAAAAGCCAAGGAAGTGACCATCGACGGAAGCAGCGGCCTGGTCGTTCATCTCCTGCTCCGGCTCATTGGCGTTGCTCAGCTCGAAATCGCCATCGTCACAGGGCTCCTCCACATGCATGTCCATCGCCTCGTCCACATCCGGCGCCGACATCCCCCGCCACGCACCTCAAAAAGAACTCTCGTCACTGTACCTCACCGCGCCCCAACTCGGTAACGAACTTCTGATCAACGGCAATACATACAGTGGTGCCGGCCTAACACCGCGAAATTGCAAAATCACGATAAACGGCAGATATGATGAACGCAGAAAGCACGCACATACACGTGGCGAACTCCCTCTCCAGCAC